CATCGAGAATCTGCTAATATAGCAAGAGTGTTGGTAGATGAGTTTGACGTAATATGCTTCTACTTGAAGCTTTATGGCGATATATTTAAAGTTAATATGTCCAATAAAGTATTCAATAATAAGTTATAAATCACTCAAAAACAACAAATTACTTTCATGCTAAATTTACTTATCAAAGGACAAGTTTTATAGCAACATTTTTTTTCATAAGAAAAGAGAAGAGCATAATTGCCTTGGAAAGAAGAACGATGTTTAGATCGATGGTTAATAAAAGTTTGATGAAAGAAAAAGTAGAGGATTGCTTAATGGAGAGAGAGATTTTTCGTTACATTTCCACAAACAACATTTACAAAGAAGCATGGAGGTTGAGATGAAGGGGCTCAATCACTAGAAAAGATAAAAAAGGATAAGCCTTAGAGATATTAGGGATCGTAAGAGAAGGTGATGGTGATCCTATAGTGAGGTCAACCAAAGTCTTATGGGAAGTCAAAGTACGAGAGGGAGGATATCAAACTACTTTGAGCAAATAAGGAATGTGAAATGAACCTTAATAGAGAGCATCATAGGTGATCGAGCAAGACCATGAAAATGATTGAATATGCAAAAATCTATCAAAGGCAAAAGATAAGGAAAAGTGCAAAGTGACAAGAGCTACCCTTGAGACTAAGGATAGAAACCACATTAATGCCATGAGATGACATCACCATCAAGAAGAACTCACAAGAAGATTCACCAATAGACCATACAAAAAGTATAACAAGTAAGAAATCAATCATGCATTAAGTTAGTCGAGCAGCGACAAATACGCAGAAGGTGGTGACGAACATGTTAGAGTTATGCGGAGATGATCAAATCAACAATTGCATGGACAATCATGTGATGTCTAGGGTGCGCCAAGAAACTTTTACGTGCACAGAGTTTATAGAGATAATTGAGAGATATGATCGCGTAATTGAAAGACTTCAACTATGATGATGTATACTAATCCTTTATTCACAGTAGGCATATGATAATAAGCAATGAGGAATGAGTATTTATGTTCATCATTCCTACTTATTTATGCTTATTCCTTCTGTATAGTTTTCCTTTTATATTTATTACTTTTTATATGTAATTGCACTATGATGGTTTAGATTCTTTATGATTATGAGTGGGCTTACATGACTAACTTTCTTAATTGTACTCCACTAAAATTAACACAAACTTAAAGTTATAAAATCACAACAACACTCACTTTATTAAATTTTTAAATCAAATAAATATATCTCATATATGTCCTGATAAATTAGTTGGAACAACCATATGATATAAGGACAATATGATTATTAAGAATCGTGCTTATTATAGAGATAAATCGCTATCAATAAAGGCTAGCTAATGCAGAACATATCTTAACTTTATGAGTCTGCATACAATTATAATTCATGTTAGAGAAAATAGCTAAATAAAACCATGACTACATGTTCCCTATAATTGTCTTTGTTATAAGGGTCCAACCACCACCCACACACCCTCCCAC